TTACAATTACATGAGTGTAGTAATGCATATCTTTATTATCAATCATTGTTGCTTCTTCCTTTGTTTCCCTTTTCCATCCTTTCCCATCTTCCCTTCTTTCCCCCTCCTTCTCCCCATCTCGGCCAAAGTTGTAAAGTTCATTTTTCTTTTTTTCTTTAATTGTGAAAATACTGTACAGAGGAGTTACAATTACATGGGTAAGATAATGAGTACATTTCTTATCAAGCATTGTTGCCTCCTCCTTTGTTTCTCTTTCCCATCCTTTCCTATCATCATCCCTTCTTCCTCCCTCCTCCCTTCCCCTTTGGCCAAATATGTAAATTCATTTTTCAACATAACATCTTGTATATCTCATTGTTGCAATGGGTCATTTTACTGGCTTGAGAAGAGATCAAGACTTTTCTCTCTCTCTCTCTCTCTTACTCTGTGTATGTGTGTGTGTGTGTCTATATTTGTCTCTCTTTTTCTATATCTGTCTCTTTTTTCTCATAGAGAAGCAACTGGATATATTAGTTATCTGTTAAGGGATGATGTTTCCACTCACTGGGAAAGGATAAAGACAGAGGCATTTATGGTTGGGTAGCAGTGATTTTTGTTGAAGTAATCTTGTCTGGGATCAACACATCACTTCATGCTGATGAACTTTGAGAAGTAATATCAAAGGCCCAAAGGTGGCAAAATATGAGAGGTCTCAGTACAGAAGAAAATACTGGGGATAGAAGATACCTAATGTTTCAATAGTGGCAAATTTATGAGTCATTATCAAAAAGTCAGAGTAAACATATATCTGCAAAATATGTTTCAACTATATCATAATAATCATCATCAAACTACTGTAAAATAGTTTTCAATATATTCAGTATGTTTTGTATTATCTTTTTACTTAAAGAAATTAAATGGCTGGGCACCTGTGCCTCACACTTGTAATCCTAGTTACTCAGTAAGCTGAGATACAAGGATTGACATTTGAAACCAGCCAGGAAAAAATCCATGAGGTCTTACTCATCTGTGTTCATCAGAGAAATTAGTCTATAGTTCTCTTTTTATGTTGGGATATTGCCTGATTTGTGGATAAGATTGGGATAGCTTCCTCTGTTTCGATTTCTTGGAGTAGTCTGACTTGTGTGGGTATTAGTTCCTCTTTAAAGGTCTTATAGAATTTCATAGTAATTCCATTTGGTTCTGGGCTTTTCCTTGTTGGAAGACTTTCGATTGCTTCCTCTATCTCATTGTAAGATGTTGGCATGTTTAATTGATTTATTTCTTCTTGGTTCAGTTTCGGCAATTTGTATTTGTCTAAATATTCATCCAATTCTGCTAGGTTTTCTTTCCTTAATGAGTATAGATTCTTCAAATAATTTTTTTATAATTGTTTGGATGTTTGGGTATTTGTTCTAATTTTTCCCGTGGCATCCCTGATCTTATTTTCTTTTTCTTTGTGAATTTTTTTTATTGTGAAAATACTGTACAGCGGGGTTACAATTACATGGGCAAGATAATGAGTACATTTCTTATCAAACATTATTGCCTCCTCCTTTATTTCCCCTTCCTATCCCTTCCCATCTCCCCACCTTTCCCCATTCCTCTCTATTACCACCCCCACCAAAGTTGTAAAGTTCATTTTTAGACATAATTATTTGTATATCTCATTGTTGTAATGGGTCCACCTCTATCTCTATTTAAATGAGTTTTTTCCCTTCCCCTCCACAAATTATACCAACATCAAATACAGTGAAGCAGGGTTATACCATGGGGGAGGGACATACAAAGCAACAAAGAAATCATCTTATAAATATGTTAGAAACAATTGCATGAAAGCAAAATCATTTGAATACTTATCTTGAGGTTCATTTTACCTAACATCAACTTATCTGACCTTTTCTGCTTGTCTCAAACATATACTAGTTATTGTAAATAAGGGAAACCATGGGATCTATGTTACTTTGGGCCAGGCTTACTTCATTTCATGTGATATTTTCAAAATCTTTCCATTTCCTAACAAATGGGACAATGTAGTTCTTTCTGATGAAGGCATAGAATTCCACAGTGTATATATACCACATTTTCTGGATCCATTTATCTACTGAGGAGTATCTGGGTTGGTTCCATATCTTAGCTATGGTCAATAATGCAGCGGTAAACATAGTTGTGCTGGTAGCTTTACTATGGTCTTGTTTGTGATCATTTGGGTGAATACCCCAACGTGGGATTGGTGGGTCATTGGGGAGCTCTATGAGGAGTCTTTTGAGGAACCTCCATACTACTGTCCAAAGTGGTTGAACAAGCTTACACTACCACCAAAAATGCAGTAGGGTTCCCTTCTGGACTTATCCCCTCCAGCATATATTGTCATTAGAGTTCTTGATTATAGCCATTACCCGGAATACCAAAAATGATCCTTAACAGAAAGAACAGTGTTGGAAGAATATCAATATCAAATTTCAAACTCTACTACAAAGCCATAGTAACCAAAACAGCTTGGTTACAAGCACAAGAAGAGATCTCAGGACCAAGGAAATAGAATTGAAAACCCAGAAATGAACCTACAGACCTATAGCCATCTAATCTTCAATAAGAGATCTAAAAAATATTATGGAAGAAAGACATCCTCTTCAGTAAATGGTGAGGGCAAATTTGGTTACTCACTTGTAGAAAACTAAAGCTAGATCCTTATATATCACCCTGTACCAGAATCAACTCCAATTAGATCAAAGACCTCGGAGTCAAAGAAGACACTCTGAAAACATTACAGGAAGGAATAGGAGAACTCCTCGGTCTCCTTGGCACAGTCTGAAATTTTTTGAATAGAGACCTAGAAAAATATGAAATCAAAGAAGGGTTGGACAAATGGGATTGCATGAAGTTGCAGATCTTCTTCATGGCAAACGACACTGCTAGCAAGATCAATAGAAACCCAACTGATTGGGAAAAGATCTTCACGAGCCATACCATGGACAAAGGTCTCATATCTAAAATATACCTGGAACTCAAAAAATTTAATCCCCCAACTACAAATCCTCAAGAAACAATGCCCAATTAATAAAAGGACTACAGACTTAAACAGAGACTTCTCTGAAGATGAAATAAGAATGGCCTTTAGACTCATGAAGAAATGCTTAACTTCTCTTGCCATAAAAAAAATGCAAATCAAGACATCACTGAGACTGCACCTCACCCCAGTTAGAATGGCTATAATCAAGAGCCTATGTTCTGTCCCGATGTTTTATGCTAAAGCTAGCATTCTTCGTTGGGATTTACAACTCAACTTGTGGCTTTTGGCAGCTTACTGGAGATAAGAATCTCACTTTCCTTCTGAGTCTGGCTTCAAACCTAACTCCTCAGGTTGCAGCCTCATGAACAGCTAGAAATGCATTCACTCTAGAGTCATCAACACCTGACAATGAAATACTCCATAACTTTTGTAGTTGAATGAAATATTTTCCATGAATTTATTAAGTAAGCTACATATTTCCCATTAAACAGACAGATACTATTGCCCTCAAGTATAATAAATAGTTGATTCTTGGTGAATTTGTTGTATCCTTTAACTGACAAATCATATTTCTAGATATAACTTTTTATTAACTCGCTGGTCTAAAATAAATCTCCTTGATTATATAACACTATCCAATGTGTTTGTATCATCTTCTCATTCTATAGGAGAACTTGGGGTTCCTCAGCTACTGCTTCCATTGGTAAGGACAAAGATCTGAGTAAAAGAACAGATCTGATTTTTTTCTTACTCAAATTAGGACCTGCAGCAATCATTCCACTATCATTGGAAAACTAGGGGCTAAAAAGATCTTGTTTCAAAATTAAACAGACAGGAAAATCTTTACCCAAAGGAAGGTAAAGTAAGTTCATGCAGATTGGGAACCTACCAGTCTTACTATGTAACTCAGGCTGGTCTAACTATGTGAGTAACCTGGCAAACCAGAAAGGCTTCCTTGTTCATTGGTAACACCAGTTCACTGACTACTGTAGCACACTACCACTTCACAACCTTTATAGCTCTGGATGGCATGTGCAGACATGCTGTCCAGGAGACGTATTCAGGAAGACAACTCCCCAATCCCCACCCTCCAGCTGAGTGATTTCACTCCTCTACTAACTCTATTGACTTCCTTTTGGAATGTACTGTTGTTTGAGATGTTGTGACAACTTCAATTTGGGGAATGATAAGCATATCTGAGTGACATATGTGTGGAAGGGCAACCATGGCATGTTCTCCCACATGGCATCTCAAGTAGAAATACAATTTCAGCAGAGAAATTCACAAATTACTGGAAAGACTTCAGTTACACTAGAAAATATTCAAGATTATTTTGTCTTGTTTAGCCACAACTCCCACTGAGTGAAAGAAAACCTATTTCTCCTTTAAACATCAAGGCAAGCCCTTCTGAATTAATTTGCACACTGTGTCATTACATAACAGTGTAGGTTGCTCAAAACTTCTTTAGAGGCAGGTTCTGAGACCTGAAAAGCACTGTCAAACCTCTAGCTCTTCTGCTCTGGCTGGGCTCCAGGTGAGGTTGGCAGAAAAGGTTAGTCACAATCATCATGGCCATTGCTGCTGTTTGACTTGCAGTTTTCTCAAACTGATTGATTCAAGTCTTTTTGCTCAATTTTCTGTTATTAAAGTGTCTTCCCTGACAAGTTACAGCTGTCACTAATGCAATATGCCTACATTGGGAAGCTCTCAGTACATCTGTGACCATTCGTGAGATATGATTACCATTCCAGGGTCCAATGGAGACATTGTACGGATTCAAACTCCTGCATCTCTGGCCCTGTCTCCTCAAGACATGGCCATCATCATCTGCAGAGCCAGTGAGAATGCTGATAATGAATTTTAGAGAGTTTCATATGTTGTTATCAACAGAAACCAGGACAGCCTCCAAAACCTCTGAGCTATACAGGATCCAATAGGGAAAGTGGGGTTCCAAACCGTTTCAATGGCAGTGGGTCTGAGATAGATTTCAACTTCACCATAAATCCAGTGGAGGCTGAAGATGCTGTAAATTGCTATGGTCAGAAGAATAACAAGTTTCTTCTCACAGTGCTCTGGCTCAAACAAAATATTCTTCAGACAGCTGCTCACTGAGGTTCACTGTCTCAGGTGTTTCCCTTCCACTGAGCACTTCAATAAACTCTTTAAATTTGTTTGTATAAAGTGGTGAAACTATCAGAAAGAAAATTCAACAACTTCAGTGTGTGTGTGTGTGTGTGTGTGTGTGTGTGTGTGTGTGTGTGTGTGTGTGTGTATACAACAAAGTCAGATGGATCATTTGGTGTTTTCCTTCCTGAGAACCACTTGCACTTTTTTCTAGATGAACAAGGCCGTTGCAAAGAAAAGTATTCTGAATTTTCAGAAATACTTACTCTTAGTGTGATTGATCTTACCTGCAATCACAATTTCAACTATGTGGAGTACAAAATTAGGAGGACCAGAGTGTCAGGACATCCCAGAATAAAAGACATGATGGCACATGCCTGGATTCTAATATATGGGAGAAGCATAAAAACAGGTGTGTAGCCTGAGACTGGGCTGGAAAATTGTGTGAGACCCAATGACTGAAAAATAACTTAAACATATAGGATGGAAGATGTGACTCAAATGATAGAACATCTGTTTGCAATGTCAAGAGTTCAAAATATATTGATATTAATTTAATTACTTAACTACACTAGTAGATGAAAACACATTTCAAAAATAAAAGTCTCTGAATAGACAAAAATCTATCACTCTTCCATATGTAGGCTGATATTCCTATATTAATTTGAATTTTGAGTTTACATTAAAAGGCCACTGTACTTGCTCAGAGACCTAAGAAATGTGAGACAGTATTCCTACATCATGTTATTCAGGTATGCCTCTGTTCATATCATTCTGGAATCTAGATTCTCAATTCAATCAGAATCAATATAGTCTATCCTCAGTGTACAGAGGCCATGTCCTCTTTCTATCATACTTTCTGTTCTCATGTTCACCACCTTCTCTCAGCAACTCTCAGCTTCTTTTTACTATTTCATGAGTCCCTCTAATATTGCAGGTAGAATACTTACAGAGAAAATCACATGATCAAGGATAGCCTGGAATTCATAGTAATATCATATCAAAAAAGAAAGAAACCAAACAGAAAGAAAGGAAGGAAAGAAGCAAGGAAGGAAGAGGGAAAAAGAGAAAATAACATAATGGACTCTAGAAAAATAACTGCCTTTTCACAGATTTTATATAACTGAGTACTTGAGATAAGACCTGGCAAGGACCTTAGTATTTCCATTTATTGGTAAATACTTTTCCATTAAATGTATTACTAAAATTTTTCTTTTGTATAACTTCACTTTGAACAAATGCTATTAGATTACATTAAATATAAGCCACCTGACAAATATAGGGAAGAATTAAAGTTATTTCTTTGACAATGGAAGGCCTCTGCACTTGAGATATGGTATAGGAAAAAGCTATGCGGTAACAGAAGATTACTAAAAATATACACGTTCATTTAAACTAAAATATTTACGAAAGGCTAAAACAAGCAAAGATCCCTTGTTTACATGGTTAAACTTGAAACTGTAAGTCTAAGTAAAAATTGTACCTGGTGACATGGCAAAACACAAAAACAACAAATTTTTGGCTTCTCTGGTAGCAACATGCTTTTGCTTCAGCCCTCCAGACATCTAACCACAGGACATGTTTACTAAAACCTTGATATAGTTGTTTTCCTTTGCTTTGAAAATTTTCCTATGTAATAAAATTTTCCTTTATGCAGTAAAGTCAATAAGGAAAGTTGGACTCAGCCTTTATACCTGCTTGGGAAGAATGACATTTTACTTTGTGTATATGTGTGTTTTAGAAGAGCCTGAACCATGTATTGCTTGAAAACTTAACAACTTATATTTCTCTAGTTTTGTCAATGAGATATTAAATGCATAGAGATATTAAACAAGTTAAAAATATCCACAAATTCTATTCTTTCCATATTTTCACTTCTCTGCATGTTCTGAATATGAAGCACTCAATTATTACTTTACTCTTCTCCCTTTCAATTGTCATGACATAAAGATTGAAAAACTCAAGAGAAATGATCATTATCCCTGAATGCACCAAGATATCTATTCAAAGGACAGTAGACTCACCACAGCTTCTGCTGTAATGGTGAAAAACACTCTCTGGGCTAAACTAAGATATGTGGGCACAGATGAAATATGAGGATTTCCTGAGTTGGGCTGTTCCTATAGCTATTCCCAGCTTTACCCAGCTTTGCTGATTTGCATATGCTCAGAGCACAGCCTACTGCCCCAATGACTTCATAATAGGCTTCTCACACCCTGTGCAGCAGTCAGTCCCAGTCAGCAAACAGCATGGATATGAGGACCCCTGCTCAGCTCCTGGGGCTCCTGCTGCTCTGGCTCCCAGGTAGGGAAGGACAGCACTCCTCTCATCCTGTGTGTTCAGTGCTGCCTGGGTCTTCAGGGAAGGCCACCTGTAATATGACTAACAGTGTGGATATTTGTGTTTATGTTTCCAATGCCAGGTTTCAGATGTGACATCCAGATGACCCAGTCTCCATCCTTCCTTTCTGCATCTCCAGGAGACAGAGTCTCCATCACTTTCCGTGCCAGTCAGGGCATTAGCATTGATTTACACTGGTATCAGCAGAAACCAGGGAATGCTCCAAAGCTTCTGATCAATTTTGCAAAGAATTTAGTCTCTGGAATTCCATCAAGGTTCAGTGGGAGTCAATCTGAGACAGAGTTCACACTCACCATCAGCAGCCTGCAGCCTGAGGATTTTGCCACTAATTACTGTCAACAGAGTAATAGATTACCTCCCACAGTGATAAGAGCCATAACAAAAACCTCCCAGGGAAGCAGAAGTGAGAGGCTGGGCTGCTCAGCTGCTCCTTCTGCGGCCTCCATCTACTACTGATAGAGCCTCTCAGATGTAGCATCACTATGAACACTTTCAAAGGTTATCATTTAAATGTGAAGACTCCTCTTAATCTTTGTCCCTTTTCTCCTCCTATATCCCAGAAGCACAAACATGGCCATGCCTCTTCTCATATAATGTCACCTTTTCTGGTTCACACAGTAAAACAGAAGCCAGACAAGAATCTCTAAGATGAAATTGTTTTAATACAGGAAATGAGTCTATTCATTAGGTTCTTTACTGCTAGGTCATTAGAGAAGTTGGAAGGAGAAGTGTGGCATTCTCTGGTTCAGTGAGGGTGTCCTAGGGTTTTGAGCACATAATCCTGTGATTCTGCTCCCTGTGGAAAAAACCAGGGTGAGCAGCTGATGCTCTTACCTGACCCAACTGCCTCTCCAGAGAAATTCTCCAGGCCTCACTTCTGATCATATGTTAGCCTGCTTATATCAAGAATTATACAAGTCTCTCCAGTTCACCAAATATAATCAAAAGATGACCTAATGATGAACTCTGCAAGAAACCATAGAAAGAATAGGGATTTGAGCTTCCACACACAATCATAATGATCATAATGATGGATTGAGATAGCTGACTGTCAATTATGGTCACTTTTCCCCAACTGTCAGAAACAGTCCTCCTAAGTGATGGCATTAAAACTCACTTAAATGTCATTGTAATTTGTTTCACCAATCTGGGAAAATGAACTTTTTTAAAAAATAACAAACTTCATTAATTTCTTTGCAGGAAAGTATCAAAAGCTGGAAATTGTATGAAACATCACAAGTTGTTCATGATCTTACACAGCAACAAACAACAAATAATTTCTTGACTAGCAAATCAGATGCAAAACAATATTACAATACCAAAAAAGGAAAATGCATTCCTTGGGTTAAGATTTCTTTTCCTTCTATGTGCTAGTGACTCAAAACTGCAATCCTAGCTACTCAGGAGGCAGAGATCTGAGGATTGTGGTTCAAAGCCAGCCTGGGGAGGAAAGCCCATGAGGCTCTTATCTCCAATAAATCACCAGAAACCAGAAGTGGCACTGTGGCTCAAGTGTGTTTGCCTTGAACTGAAGAGCTGTGGGACAGTGCCCAGACCCAGAGTACAAGCCCCACAACCAAAAAAAAAAAAAGAAATCACAGGAAAGGACAGGAAAGGACATGACAGGACAGGAAAGGACAGGAAAGGAACGGAAAGGAAAAGAAAGGAAAGGAAAGGAAAGGAAAGGAAAGGAAAGGAAAGGAAAGGAAAGGAAAGGTGAAAAGGAAAGGAGAGAAAGTAAGAAAAGTTTCAATGCATAAGTATTTTATAAAGAAAACACAGAGATTTTTTCCAGGAAAAATTATTGGGAGTGAATAAAAGATCTAAGTAGAAACAAGAAGATTTCAATATATTTATGAAATACTCTATTACCACTGTTTCTTCTGTGCATTATACATTTTGAAAATAGTCATAAAAGTGTCTTCTACCATCAAATCATGTCCACATACTCTGCAGGCAAATTCAGGTTCCTCTTTTCTAGTCTAGGAAACTTTTGGACACGAGGCCTGAGGTTATTCACTGAGTTGAGCCAATCCTGCAGATGTGCCCAGCTCTGCCCAGGGCTTGCAGATTTGCATGTGCCCAAAGCACAGCCCACTGCCCTTAGCACTTCATAGTCTGCTCAAACTCTCTTCAGGAGTCAGTCCCAGTCAGCACACAGCCATGGACATGAAGGCCTTGCTCAGCTTCTGGGGCTCCTGCTCTTGCTCCCAGGTAAGGAAGAACAATGCTGGGATTTACTCAGCCTAGTACAGCAGGGGCTCTCTGGTACTGCAAGGAAGGCCTCTAGTAACATGATTATCAAGGAGGGTATTTGTTTTCTGTTTCCACTGCCAGGTGCCAGATGTGAAATATAAATGCCCAGTCTCTACACTCTCTTTCTGCATATCTGGGAAACAGAGTTTCCATGGCTGGCAGGGCCTGTGAGGGTCTTAGCATTTCTTTAGAATGGTCTCAGCAGTAATCAGGGAAAGCTCCAAAGCTCCTCATGTATGGTGCAAAGTAATTACTATTCTGGTCCCTTCCAGATTTAAGGACA